TTATTATTATTATTATTATTATTATTATTATTATTATTATTATTATTATTACTCTGTCTTGCACCCGTTGCTTGCTGGATAGGATAAAGGGGTTAGAAAACGGATGGACGGACATTTGGATTTCCACTTTCTTCACTTTCGTCTAGCTAAGGATTTTAACCAAGTTCACACTAGGAGTCAGACCGCCCCATGGATTTCCAGAAACAAAGGGGAATTTTTAACACGTATTGTATCAATAGGATTAATATATACATACAGGATCTGTATGTTATAGTATATCATAGCAGTTCTAGCTTATAGCTTGCAGCTCTGTTATGATCTATCCTTCCCTATTCTAAGCATTTTGTCAGGTACAGAGTTGCAATGGAGCTGGAGTCTACACCGGTAATATCGTTCACAATAACGATTTTAAAACGGGGGGTTGGGTCCAGTGCCCTCTGTTTTGAAGCAGAATTGCCATCGGCGTGCCTCAACACCACACCTTTTTAAAACCGTTTTGTTAATGAAACGGCAAGATTAGAAAAACAAACAGGTTATCATTGCGTATCCAACATCAGGATACATGTCCAGTCCGCTCTTTTTTTTATTTATGCTTAACAAAAGAACAAAAATTACAATACAAACAAGAGTAAATATAACAATTCAAGACAAAAATATCGTCAGGGGTACATAGTCTGCAAATACCCCCCTTCCATTTTAAAATGCTCAAACAGAGGGTACTTCCCAGACCGCTTCATATTATGTATATAATAACGTGCCATTATAATAGTTACATGTATTACAAACGAAATTTTAATATTGTTTTCAGTGGGGCTGAAACTTAACATAACATCTTTTTCATCAAAACAAATATCAATCTTGGTTTCTTTTTTAATATAAGTCTGCAACTTAATCCAGTTTACCCTAGGACAGAACCAAAACAAATGCTGAATAGTTTCAGGGCTATTGTCACACAAAAAAACACATTTGTCATCTATATTAATTTTAAATCACTGGGTATGTCCAGTCCACTCGGGCCCTGAATCACAGAGACCAACTATCGCTTTAAGAGTGAAAACCGAAGCTCTTTTACAAGCAGAGCAAGGGGGGAGGTTATCAGCTGACTGGCCTGTTCCGTCGCGACACATGACCAGTGCTGTTTTTGTAGGATACTGGGACGTTGCTGCCAGCGGATGAACTCTTTGCTTTGACTGCTGGCGAAGATTAGATTTCACGCGTGTTGTACGGCTTCTCCGGCCTCCTGGCGACTGCATCTGTCTCACCCCGTGGAGGGAGAGAGAAAAAAAAAATGATTTCAATCAGATTATGGCTGACGGCTTTATTGAATTACTTGCTGGTCAGCGCCGGCTGGTTTCCCACTTACTCGAGAGTGGAGGCGACGTTTCACAGACCCAACATTGTCCTCATCCTGGCAGACGATTTAGATGTCGCGATCGGTGGGATGGTGAGTATCGCCACACTGGGGGGTTATAACGTTTCGCGTCAAAAAGACCAGACTGTCCGATTGCATGTGGGGGACATTGTTCTGTAGCTCGACAGAGGGCCGCGATACCAGTCGTCTTGCATCAATCATGCATCAATAAAATAGCGTTAGATGAAAAGAATCCCCGCTTAGAAAAAATATACAATATTTCTTTACACCTGATTAATTGAAGCATCTTGTGCAGATGGACAGGGAGTGAGGGAAAATACTTGGGATTGTTCATCACGCCAGCCCGTGATTTCATCATGTGTCGGAGCTTCTAATAGCATCTCTTTATCTTTTCTACAAATTGCAATGTGCGAGGTGATTTTTTTTTTCGTGCACAGACAAAACGCCTTTTTTCTTTCCCAGCCACGGCGCTATGAATTTCCCAAAAAACAAATGTCAGCCGAGCAGTCAGCTGAGGGTCAATACGGCGGAGATAGTCCGAGTCAGCCAACTCACAACAACAACAAC